CTTTACAATCTAGTTGTCCCAACAAATGTAGGTGATTACCACATGCAGTAAGAGGTTTTTGTGTTGTTGGCACGGTGCGTGGTTTGCCCATTCTGATCCAAGGTTTTCGTGAGAGAATTGTCACGTCAGATGCAGTGTCTATTTGCAATCTAAACGGATGTCCATTAATATTAAGGGTAATAAATTTCCTCTCCTCTGGGACTGAGTTCTGACAGATTGCTACTAGACGCAACGAATTTGTGCAAAATTTAGGGACAGGCTTTCTGGTAATTCTGGAGCTGTTCGGCTTCTGTTTTTGACAAAACCCATCTTTATGACACACAGCTTTGCATCTTCTACACCTATGTTGTTTATATGGACAGTTTCGAACAAAATGCCATGCACTGCAGTGCCAGCATGAGGCAGGAGGATTTGTTTTTGTTTGTTGACCTGAACTAGATGTCGCTGGGGCAGATTTATGCGCGTTGGTTGGTTGTTGGACTACCTGAACTTCGGTATGATCAGAACCACCACGCTGGACCATCGTAGTGTCACGCTGTAGATTCATTAGACGTTGATATTCGTTTGCAATATCATTAAGAGTTAGTTTTGGGTCTTGGTCCAATCGACTTAGAAAGCGTGTTCTAATGTCACTGAACTTCTGCGATTGAAGGCTGCAGATGAGAATGAGTGCTTTAAATTGGTCTTCAGTAGGCGACTTCGACCGGAAGCGTTGGCATTCTCAGTTGATGATACCCACATGTGTGAGAAAATCAGCATCTTCGTTCATAGTGAGCTTCAAACATCGATAGAGCGCATTGAATAGTGAGGAGTTGTCTCCGAATTGTTGGCTCAATGACTGGACAGTGTCCGAGGATGAGCGATCGCGTGGGTTTAGAGGCAGAATGAGGTTGCAATACCCGTCTATTTCACTAGGACTCAGCTTTCGAAGCAGCAAGCGGACCTTTTAAGCATCATCCTGGTTGGCAAAGTCAAATTCGAATAAGTCTTCGTAACATCGAAACCACATATGAAATGTGACATTGGATTGCGGATCGTAATGAAACTCGGAGATACTGTTAGCGATACCATCAACTGACGGTGCATGAGTAGTAGTAGTAGTAGTAGTAGTAGTATTAGTAGGATTAGAACTGCTTGGTTTAGTATTAGACATAAGCTTTGTATCTGCTAACATCTGATTAAGTTTCATCTGCTGCTCGAGTAATAATTCAAGTTTAGAAGGATCCATATTTCCGAAACCACCGTCGCCAAATTCGCTAGGTTTGAAGCTATCACGAGTTCACTTAATCGGCGAACGAGAACAAGACTCGGTGACCAAAGACCAGTAATCTAGCTATTGATGTGTCCCAGCCCCGGTAACTAGAGGGAAAAGTCCAAGCTTGGAATGGGAAGTATATTCTGCAAAACAGCCAGAAACGAGCGATAACAAAAAAACACAATTCAAAACGTATATATTAATTGCAAAACCGTCCTTGGGGAGAGTTACCAAATACCACACTAAAAGACTCAACGGACCAATAGCATTTAAAATTCGTCCGTGTGGGAAATACGACATGATGGTGACAAGAGCGCCTTTGGCGCGAAAACAAAGAAATTCAAATTTTCTAAATAAAATTACAAAATTAGGTTCTTTTCCAAGTGAGTTCTAGGGATCTAACGTCCCCAACATGTATATGATATGTTGTTTTGGTCTCCCGTCTAGTATAATGCTCTATGTTACAAGTAGAATATACTGATGACTTTACCTCTTTGAATTGCATTAACTCGACAATTAAGCTTAAAGATTCTCTATAAAAACCGACATGATCTGATTAACAGTGGGACAAAATAGTTTAATTGAAGTAAACAGACATTATAACAACCAGCGTTAGTTACAGTGAGAAATTAATGAACCAAATGATTAGAAATGCTTTCACTGTTTAATTCACAATGCAATGTGGAATACACAACTTGTGTCTGAAGTAAGTTAGTAACAAAAAATGAGTGACGGTATGATACACACAGAGGAAAAATAATATTAAAGTAGTGAACCGTTTTTTAAATCATAATATAGAAATAAAATAGATAAAGTTAATTAATACAACCAATTATTAACTGGGTAATGACCACTGTCAGGTTTGTCTAGTCTTTTTTGTACTTACTAGTATGGGGTTGTGGAGACTATTAAGTTTTAATTGAGATCTTGAACCAATTGATGTTAGACCATCACAATTGAAAACCTGGAAGCACTGGACGGCCGTTTCGTCCTATTGTGGGACTCCTCAGCAGTGCGCATCCACGATCCCGCGAGCGGGATTCGAACCCAGGGCCTTCGGTCTCGCGCGCGAACGCTTAACCAACTGGACCACTGAGCCGGCATCCAATGGTGATAGTTTTCTAACATCAACCAATCCACGAAATTGCGCGACCCACTTCCATTGTCTTTTAAGTAGATAACTGTCTCTACCCGACAAGGATTAGCTCCACTGGTCACGGCTTCTCACTAGAACTCCGAGAATTCCCTCACGAAGCTAGTCACTAGTGAGCACATGTTGATGCCGTCCAGTGCTTCCAGGTTTTCAATTGTGATGGTCTAACATCAATTGGTTCAAGATCTCAATTAAAACTTAATAGTCTCCACAACCCCATACTAGTAATCAACATGTGCTCACTAGTGACTAGCTTCGTGAGGGAATTCTCGGAGTTCTAGTGAGAAGCCGTGACCAGTGGAGCTAATCCTTGTCGGGTAGAGACAGTTATCTACTTAAAAGACAATGGAAGTGGGTCGCGCAATTTCGTGGATTGGTTGATGTTAGAAAACTATCACCATTGGATGCCGGCTCAGTGGTCCAGTTGGTTAAGCGTTCGCGCGCGAGACCGAAGGCCCTGGGTTCGAATCCCGCTCGCGGGATCGTGGATGCGCACTGCTGAGGAGTCCCACAATAGGACGAAACGGCCGTCCAGTGCTTCCAGGTTTTCAATTGTGATGGTCTAACATCAATTGGTTCAAGATCTCAATTTTTTGTACTTTACGAGTTCTGTCGATCAAATGGAAATATGGTCACAAACCTAAAAGACTCAACACCGTGAGCACTATGCTGAAGTGTTAGGTGGTTAAAAATACTCGGCAGGAAACCCTAAGCCTAGATTTCTCATCAGTTAACATCCGTTGGCCATCGGTAGAATTCGGTCAGCACTAAAAAGAACTAAATAAACATGACAGTGGTAATCAAATTTAAATATCACAATATTACGCAAAGTCAGCTGCTGCTCGAATAACGTCTCAGGTTGTAAAGCTGAGTGACACGAGATCGTAGGTACGTTTTGTTGACAAGTGACAACTAGTAAAAATCCTAGGCTTAGGCGATTAGCTGCAAGATATTCAGCAAACCACTTTTCCTAAGGTTTTCTTGAAAATTTAACAGAATATATCTTCCAAGTTTGTACCGAACACTATATTTATTTTTGTCTTTGATTCCTTTATATGAAATTAAATTGACAGAGGATTTTCATTACTTCTGAGGGACGTTTTCTAGTTAATACACTTCGATAGAAATTTAATTACTGTTTTAATAAATCAGCGGTAATATCTTTAATTTTGGTGCTTGCTGATTGACATACACTGTAGAGGCCGGTACTACGTCAAGCCCTCATAGGTTGTTCTAGCCTCTGGACAAATCAATCTGTTCATTCTTCTCAAGCCACATTTCTACCTTGTCACGTATTTACTTATTAACCTGTTTTTATATAATTGCATGTGTGTTAATTACTTACCTCATTCATCATGTCTGTAACGTCGTTTTGGTCTGATTATAAATATTGAGTCACTGCTGGTTAAATCGAATTGGCTCACTCGCCTTCTCCACCGCGCGTCATTTCATTTTGCTTCTCTCTCTCTCTCCTCTTCTCTTTACCGCGTCTCATTCTGATTCTGTATCTGGATAAACGAATACCTGAAATAAATTGCCCCAACGCCACCAGTACTTGGCTTCTTACTACCGCTGTCATACAAACGGAGTAGCCTATGTAATATATGGAGTTAAATTGAAGATTTATATTCATAGTATATTCATACGTTCATGCAAATTGGAGTCAGATCAGTCGGCACCAAAACATCAGATTTCATGTTTAATATCAATTTCAACAGAAACTACAAAGGAACGTCAAGTAAATTAACTGATAAACTTAACTAAAACCTTAATGGTAGATGGAAATCAACTACAAAGTTAAATTGTTAGATACTAAAATGAATTACATTTCTCACGTAATATTCATTTATCTGAGTACATAAATAGAAGTTCAATTAAAAACACATGATTATTGAAGAATTATTTGAACTTATGGGTCACCTACTTTCAAATTATGCAAACACTGTAATTGAATCTTTTTAGACTAACTACTTATTTATCTTAACTTTCTATACTCACATACTTCTATAAAAACCTTATAACCTACAGTAAAGTTAAATATATAAAAATCAAATGATACTACCTCCCCCCCCCAATGATTTAGTTATCCTTTGCAATAATGACAATCGATTATAACAGAATTTTCGAATCAAAATATATTAATCAATATAGAAAGATTTTATAAGATCAAAACTACTTGAAAACATTTGAGTAGGGGATGAATCTGTGCAGAAAAAAAATATTTTCATATATATATTCATTACATCGATTGAATATATTAACGTGGATTTGTTTAAATATTGTACATATTTTAAAACACGAATTTCAGCGGAGGGATCTCTTTCCAACGAATTTATTATCAAGCTGTACAATCGTATATATATGAAAATTTTTGTTTTTGTAAAAGTACTAATTCCGTGAGGAACAAAAATTTTCATCTATATACGGTTGTACAGCTTGATAATAAATTCGTTGGAAAGAGATCCCTCCGCTGAAATTCGTCTTTTAATTTTAATGTTTAAATGGGTACATATTTTACTGAAAATCTCTCTATGTAATCAACTATATAGTGCTGAATTAAAACGATTATCATAATCATTGAAATTTACTTACTTTTTATTAGTTCTGCTACTTTCATCCATGATTCTTGATCATGAATCCACTGATTAGTTGAATCATCATTGAATAAAATTGGTGGATGTTTTAATAAACTTAAATCGAAATTTACTAAATATGTTGGTTGTTTTAAAAAAATTATTAAAATTCTTTCAGTCCATGATTTTTTAGCTGTTAAAAATACAAGAAATCTTGGATAAATACAATTTAAACATGATGCATTTTGACCAGATACAATGAGTAATGCATATTCAGAATGTGTTAAAAATCTCTCTTCAAATGAATTGAATGAATTATGCAAAAATGCTTCACCACGTTGTCTTGGCCAAAATACATTTAAACCATATTTATTCTCTGTATATTCAGTTAAGTATTGTGCAAATAATATTGCTTCATTATCTTCACAATCAGTATTTGGTATGGACGTTGGTAATAGTGTCCATGATGTAAGGAGAGTAAATTTAAATTTCATGATTAAATTAATTAACTCTCCTTACGTTTTTGTTGAGGTGATAGTTAGCAACAAAAAAACTCGTCTATTTATTTATTTTCTTTATTGTGAATAGATTTCTTGTAGAACAATTGAGAATCTAACAAAGTGTATGATTCTTTTCATTCTTTTCTAAACCTTATTCATTTATATCATTATTACACAATAATCAACTGAATAAAATAAACTTCTTTTAGTTCAACGAAAAAACTAATCCCCAATTATGAAATGTGACAGTTACTACATTGGTGAATATGTGAATATTTTAAGAATAGTAAATTTCAAATAATTTCTGGATAACACCTACACTCAATAAATCAGTCATTTTGATTGGTCAAATAGTTTCAAGGTCACATCTGCGAATCAATAATTTTTATTCAACAGATGTGATTGTACTTTTAAAATGATGTTTTTTCAAATAAAGACTTTTGATATTTCAAGTGACTTATCGTCAGATCTCTCAGCTGGCTGCAGTTCTGCTTTCGAATACATTTTATTTTGTGCACGAACTAATCGTATGGAGCCTCTTGGGTTTTCTCTCCAAATTATGCATTATGCTTGGTGTCAGTTCGGGATGAAAGCTCTAACCCGAAACGCACAAGCTTAAATAAGAATAATGTAAGGACGCCTAAAAATATATATGGCTACTTTTGAAAGAAAGATAATCACTACCATGTAAAAGAATTTATGAACGAGACTATAATTTATGGACAAACCAATGATATATAACAGGTCTGGGATTTTGGCGCGAAATCCATTCATCCATTTGGCTATATAGCATTTTGGCATTTTGGTTTATGTCAGTTCGTGATGAAAACCGAAAATCTAATTCCTAACCCTAACCATCAACTCTAAATCATTATTCTAATCCCTCATACTGGTTTCTAACCCTCATTGAGCTATGCTTGGTAGGTGGACATTCTCTAAGTCAATTATGCGTCACTCAAAGGTCGTGCATAAATTATGGTCTCACCAATTCATGTTTTTTTTCAATTAACAGGCAGAGCAACCTGTGAATGACCATACTAGATTTATTAAACACGTAAAATCCGCTATTATTTGGTAACATTCTGTTTTCCTTGTCCAGGCACCATCCACTTACGAAGTATGCTTACTGATTGATTGGCTAAGGATTGGTCAAAAAATTCATCACGGTTTTTTCAACCTCATCAGTAAATTAAAATCGGATGAGAATAAACTCCACTACCATTCGTAATTTCGATCCTGCATGTGGTAGCCAACCAAACTGAAGCGGGAATTATCATTCACACAATCACAGCCTATGATGAAGGGCGTGTTTTGCTCTCCATCGTTTTCGCTGGCTTACATGAAAGATGTAGAGTTTTCTACGATGAAAATACCACTCCATCATTCTATGGATATGCCGAGTGTATGGCAGACAGTCATGATGGGAGAAAAACCACAACATAGCAAAAGACACACCTCCTATTAATTCTATGATAGAAATTATCCCAAAATATCTACAAGTGTGTGACTAAATAAACGAAAACATAACCGCAATTACTGATTAAACTCAGTTGACTCGGAAACGAGATGTTTATCCTCAGCCCTAAACTTACCCGTTAATGAACAATTGTTCGAGTTTGCCAATCAGAACACTAGGAGGGACAGCCAGATATTACCTATTTTTCTATATTATATTCAAACATAAAATCTCGCATGACTGATAATAAAATATAAGAGTGCAAGCATCACCAACAATAAACCTTAATATATCCAATAACTATAACATTATTGTTACATCTCTGTGTGACATTTTAGTGATTAATTCACTGCTATTTATAAGCTGTCAACAATATAACAACAACTAATGATTCAAATAAAAGCCTATATTTATAAAAATTCAAAAAAAGCCATAAACTAAGTAGTTAAAAATATGTATCCTGATTCTCCTTGAGAATAACTTTTAGGGTTTTACATTTTCACTGATTCCCTTACTACTAACATTCATTTATCTAGACATTAACATAAACACTGACTGTTTTATGTAATTTCAAAATATTTAGTTACAAATAGTAACGTAGGCATTTATTTGGTCAGTGGGTTCGGTTATGTTTCACTAATGAGTAACAAACTTGAAATCTAGTCTATGAGATTTTCGTAGACTGTTTACTGACTTAACAAAAAGATAGATGCTTAACTAATCTGTGATTTCCCCTGTTTAATAAACCTTATTAATTTTCTTTTTGTATACTAACGGTATTAACTTACGTTTTAGAAGAGGATAATCCTTATCGAGACAAATAGCTTGCTTGTTCTGATTTTGGCCAAAGTAAGACTCTAATTTCGACAGTTTAGTATTGTGTCCGTAGAAAATTAGGTCCGTAACAAATTGAAAGTATCATCAGAATGTGTTTTGTGGAGATTTTTCGAAATTTTCACAGATTGAACTCATGAGTTAGACATTAACACCGTTGGATGCCGGCTCAGTGGTCTAATCGTTAACTGCTCGCGCGCGAGGCCAGTAGGTCCTGGGTTCGAGCCCCGTGTGGTGCGGGGTCGTGGATGCGCACTGTTGAGGAGTCCCATACTAGGACGAAACGGCCGTCCAGTGCTTCCAGGTTTTCAATGGTGGTCTAGCTTCAACTGACTCATGAGTTCAATCTGTGAAAATTGAAAGTAGTTTAAGAAAGTACAATCCATAACAACAATTTATGCATCAAACGAAAACTTGCAGCTAAGGGAATACAACAATACAATAATCGAAGTATTTTCTAATAATACAATGAAAATATAAACACTGATTTAAGATAGAACAGTTCTGAAAGTTTGACTATTCTCAGTGTTTACCTCGTTATATCACTTCCAAACTCATAACTTCAAATAAACTGTTACAACCAGGAGAAACGTGAATGATCATTGGATGTTTTTTGACTTATATTTTCGTCCTTAACTATGTATTTGTTAACTGATAAGCAATTCAAACTTAACTAAATCGGTTTTACTCCTTTATTAATCAGTGTTTTACCAAGCCGACTAAGCCATCATAACGTTTGTATTATCATAGCTCTAATTTATTAGGCTAAGGTAATGATGTAAATTACAGAATATAACTAAAATTAGTTTTTAAATTACAACTGATGACAGTTGTCATTCAACTATAACAATGGAACATACACCTACAATTGATTATGATATGTGTAAACGAAATATCAGAATTACCCCACTACTTTAGAAAACTCCTTTAATCATTATGTAATATATACATATATGATACATACATGATACTTCGAAAACTTAAATGGTTATTTAACATTTTAGTCCATTGACTAATGAAACAGAAGTTTCTCTACTTGAGATTTGGATTCATGCTACTTTCATGGTCTGAATAATTCTATTGGTAGTTCATTCCATTGTTAAACCAATCACCATGAGACATTCAGTCATTGTTAGATTGGTTAAAAATCTTGTTATTTTTTGTTAAATAACTTTTCGCAGTTACAGCTCAAATGATATTTACAATTGATTGATCACTGGGTGGTGATCAATCTCATGTATGTCAAGTCCTTCTTAGTGCAGATCGAATCCTATCAACAAAGTCGTAATGTGGCCACCAGTTTAGAGGAATCGGCATCGCGTGCACTATGTTAAGATAAAATGGTGATTGGAGCTCGTCAACAGGAAACCTTAGACCTAGGTTTCGTACTACTTGGTACTCGTCAGCAATATATACCTGTAGTCTTAAGGGAACTGATGCTCCCCAATGGATTCCATCCAGTGTTACCAAGGTCCAGGGTTTCCTGTTGACTACCTTCCGTCACATTCTTAGCTCAAATAATATGTTTCGACATTCCCACTGCTCTACCACTAGTCCTACCCACCAATAATTAAGATATCCACCACATTTATACAGTACCCAACTAAGGTGGTTTGTTTACCTGTTTTGAGGTATATAGGCTAGAGTGAGTTCCATTTTCTTACATTGATGGGATCGAGAATGTTGTGTTGTTCGCCATTACTTCCATCCATTAGTTTATTTTACATTCCGTTATACCTCAACAAAATGTTTATAAATATATCAAAAGTCGTATAGCAAACTCTTCACCGCAGGCTACATCTGTTTGAATATCAAATAGTTTGTAGAATAATTAAACTACAGTTGATTGAAATCCATTATTCTGTCTATCCCTCAAGCAATCGAACATTAAAAATACAAATAGTAAGAGAAAACTAAATGAGACTGAGACTGTAGTACTTGGATCAAAATTAGTGATGAAGTCTCGAAATAAAACAAACACCGACCAAGTAATTCATGAGTTTTAGCAGCTCTTCAGGTGATTTCAATTTAATGATGAACATTAACTTCATAATGTTAGAAATTATAACAAAATTTTTCGGCTTAATTTAATTCATTACCATATTTTAATATTATATTATATCCTTAATAGTGAATAGAAATTTCTCCTAAAAATCGATCGAGGTGTTCGTAATCGTTAGAGGTTGGCTGGATATTATTCTTCACGCAAATATTTTTGCCGAAGTTATGCTGGAAGATAAATTTAGTTGATTTACTGTTCTTTTAATCGTACAGAAATGATTGATTTAACATCAGTTTAATTAACCTGACAAGGTCAACAAATTCTATTAATTATGTATGACGTAAACACACCTTGTAAGTATGGAAATATTTTGTATTTCTTCAGGAACCTACCTTGATTAAAAGGTAAACATGTTGTTCATTAGTTTTCATCACTAAAAAGAAGTCAATAAGCTGTACAAATACCCATGCTTACAAGCGTCCTATCAGAACACTAGAAGCTCAGATAAGTGGAAACATGTACTTTTATACTTTAGACTCATAATTCACGTCGTTATAAAAATAGATTACACAAACAGTTTATCACATATAGTGTTTTTAAATGGTTACTTAATTAGAATACTTATGATACAAAGTGAATAATAGATTCATAATTGATTAACTATACGTTCTGAATGGTAAGAGATATATCATATTATCTTCATTTGTTCCTATGAAATTATATGAACGTGCTCAAATAAATACATTAGAGGAATAGAAATAATGCTTACTATTTGACTTAGTATGGGACTCCTCAGCACTGCACACCCACGACCCCGCACGCGGGATTCGAACCAAAGGCCTCTGGCCACACGAGTGGACAGTTGACCTCTATACCACTGAGCCTGCATCCAGCGATGCTAATGTCTAACTTCAACCAATCCACGAAATTACTAATAATAGTAAAGATATAAAATGATACTGAAACTCAAAACTTCAGAGAACGTAA